TTAGTTTACGCACAACGCCACTGGCAAATCCAATTCGCCGGTCGATCTCTTCCTCAAACTTTCTATTACTAGTAAATACAGTTCCGTGGTACTTGAACTTTTCCACCTGCTCCACCTTAATCTGAAGAGAGCAACGGACAGGAGGTATTATACTTATACATAGATTTTATATGCGCAGTAATCCCGTATGGTCTTTGTTGAGTGTTGAACTAAATGCCCGCATAAAAGAATCCGTCTCTGCGTTTATCATGTTTTTTATGAACCTTTAACTTTTACTTTTTTGTGTCTTTACGAACTGAATATTGCTCTTTTGAGAAGGTAACACATAGCTTTAAAAGGCAACAATTTTTAAGGTATTGCAGAGTAAAGTACTTCGACTAATCACAAGTTAGTCTCAAAGTTTGAGCGCAGTAAAGTTGCTAAACCAATTGTGCAAAAAATGCAAATAGCTGCTGTTGTGAACGCTTTAAAATTAACATCATCTATTAGAAAAGTAATCGTGGTTGTCTCTAGTACAGCAGCATCAGGGAATAAATCACTAATATAACATAATTCTGTTCAAGTCAGTTTCGATACCGCTTATCCGTTCGAGTCGCGTACGCAGCTCCTCAGAGAATCTCTCCAATGTTTCTGATCCTCTGCCAGCATTTGACTTTCAACAAAAGATAACCCGGGTCTGGAGTAGAGTCCTTCGATAAACTTCCCCCAGTTTATTCTGGGCCGTCTCAGGTCTTCGGCATGTCGGTCGAGCAAGTAGTGTCTGTTTTGCTTTTCTTTCTGAAAGCAATCGCATCACCTGCCCAAACCATCGCAGGTGCGATTTCTCAATCTGAAGAAGCATTCTTTGAGGCACCTTTACTAATGAACGCATAACAACGATCCATTAACCTTCATTCAGTTCTGAAAAGCCGCTCTGATACTAGACAAACTTAATCGCCGCAGGAGAAATCACCTTACATGGGAATATGGTAGCATTCCACTACTAGTGATTCTTTACCAGGATTGCTGAGCAAAACTGTGGAAAGACGCGGCGCAGTGACGGTACGTTGCGAGCTCGAGATGTTTGGATTCTCCTCTATTAGTTGGCAGCGAAGTCATTCGAAATATGTAACTGAAAGAAGATTCTACTATGGTATACTATAGAGGCGCTATAGCCAAGCAAGTTTGCCCATAACGAATCGGCAGTGGAAAACCTACTACGTGATCAGCTCAGTGCGGAGACCAGACTGTATTCTCCAGTTCCTTTCCCACTCATTTATCCGTCTTGGAAGAAAGGCAGGCGAGTGATCCCTTTCGAAGCTCTAACCCCCTACCTCTCAAATCTGAACCCGGTGTTACACCATTGGAGTAACCCCGGTTTGGAGCAACGTGTGGTGAATTACTTGCTGAAGGAAATTCTTAGTCGAGGCAAAGATTGGCGTCTGCGGGCAACTCGGCGCCTAGCAAGTTCGAGTTTGAAGCCGATATTTTTTATGCACTGTGCCACCATTTCACGCAGAAAACTTAAAACAGCTTTCATCCGTAGGCAAAATATAATATCCCAGATATTATTGGGTGATGGTCACAAATGGTTGCTTTCGAATTCTACCGACAGTTGTTACATTTCAACTGCAAATACCTGATTACACTTCGTACGTAGATGCATCTTTCCGTGGCTTCTAGGCGCGTAAGGGTGACCGTTTAAGCGAGCGACGATTCAGTGGTATTTTAGCACCTGCAGTGCCTCGGATGCACAACCGCATCACAGAGATGCACTGAATAGGGTTATGTTAGAGCTGTAGCAAAATTTGCTACCGTCCTTAGGCAAAGATAT